TTCTTCTTCTTCTTCTTCTTCTTCTTCTTCTTCTTCTTCTTCTTCTTCTTCTTCTTCTTCTTCTTCTTCTTCTGTCTCATTATGTTGATGACTTTAGTTCCTGGGCTCAAGTAATTCTCTTGTGTCAATCTCTTTTGCATCTGGGATTACAAGTATGCGCTATGATTCTCAGCTGAGAAATAAATTTCTAATTCTTAAAAATTACTCTTTTGTTAGAGCATCACAGATTAGGGCATATTTATAAAAGTGTTTTTTTTTATTGGAGAGTGACAAAACCTCCATATATGCTGCAAATATAAGATGGATTTTTTTCCCATATGAAAAGTGGAAGGAAGGAAGGAAGGAAGGAAGGAAGGAAGGAAGGAAGGAAGGAAGGAAGGAAGGAAACCTGAAGATGAAATCTGTATGTTTTATCAATCTATAGGATTCGACCATCAAAGGGTTAAAACAGATGACTTTGCTAACGAAGATACTTATCATTTATTCTATATCAGATATCCAGTGAAGTTCTGATCTCAGCATATCTTAAAAAGAAATATAATTGTGCATATTATGCAATTTAAAAATCCGCCCCATTAGTTTACACTCGTTGTGCCAGGAACTGAAAATATAAAAGCAAAGACAGCACAGCAATTGCTGTCCTTGAGGAGTTCATTGTCAACTCCGCCATCTTGCTGAGCAGAAACAGCTCACTGGATAGGTACCAGTCATATGGTGGCTCTAGCTTACCAGAATGGAAACCCTAATAGCTTTTTTCTTTTTTTTCTTTTTTCTTTTCTTTTCTCTCTCTCTCTCTTTCTTCTTTCCTTCCTTTTTTCTTCCTTCCTTCCTTCCTTCCTTTTTCTTTTTCTTCTTTTTGAGACAGAGTTTCTCTGTAGCTTTGAAGCCTGTCCTGGAATTAGCTCTTGTAGACCAGGCTGGTCTCATACTCACAGAGATCCGCCTGCCTCTGCCTCCCGAGTGCTGGGATTAAAGGAATTCGCCACCACCACCCGGTGCTGATAATTTCTTACAAAGACTAAGACATTATAAACACTACAGTGGTCATTATGAAAGAAAAATGTTATTTGTGCTAAGAGAGCATCAGTTAGACTCATCAGGTCATAACCTTTTTCAGCCCTTGAACCCCATTGGTGTCTAGACCAGCAGTTCCCTGTGGGAGTTCAGTTTTGTGTATGTTCACACATGTGTGCCACACGCACACAGACACACAGATACATACACATCGGGAGTCTGGTTATGTGTAGAGACATCCTTAGTTGCTACAACTGTTGGGGAGAGCAGTCATTGTCATTTGCTAAGAAAAACAGCTAAGCATTCCCCATTGCAGAGGACAGACCTCACAACTGAGGAAACTTGCAGAAATGCCAGTACTGCAGATTGAAAAATTCTGGTCTTGAGTAACCAAATCCAGAATCACCGCTCAGGTCTGGACCAGCGTGATCCTACTTATCTCCCTCGGCCTTAGTCTCTGAGTCCTCCAGCTTCCTGGGAACTGTATGTTCCAGCACTATCAAATTATGACAAGGTTTAAAAGGGTGATTAGATACTCAGGCTCTGAAGTCCTCAGGTCTGGACTTCTGCAGAGCTGGGCCCATGACAGAGTTCTTGGCCGATCTCTTCTCTCTCAGAATGATCCCACCTAGCTCTTTGGCCTTCAGTACTATGTATCTCCCTCAAATGTATATTTGCAGTCAGGACTCTTTCTGAGTTCTAGTTTGGAAATTTTAATTTTATTTTTTGAGACAGGGTCTCATGGAGTCCATGCTGTTCTAGAATTCATATGTAGTCAAAGATGACCTTGAACTTCTTATTCTCCAGCCTCCACTACCCAAGTTCTGGGTTACATGTCTAAACCACCATATCCAGCTTATATGGTACTGGGCATCAACAAGGGCACTGCATGCTAGAAGTCATTCTACCCACTGAGCCACATCTCCAGTCTCTATTATTTGTTTGTGTGTGTGTATATATATATATATATATATACATATATATATATTTATGTGATCCAGTTTTGCTATGGGCTGGTCTTGAACACACGGCAACTGTTCTTCTGCCATCTGGAGGCTGAAATTACAGGCCTGTGGCACCACATCTGAGAGCTTTTAATCTTTTGTTTGACATTCCAAATTTAGTATACAGTAATTAGTATTCTCTTTGTAGGGTAGGATCCATGTAGCCCAGGGTGGACTCAAACTCCCTATTCTCCTTCTCCAATCTCCTGAGTGATAGAACTATGGTGTGTCCCTTCATGCTTGACCTGTGATATTTTTATTTGATTTTATTTCTATGCATGTGTGTACATTTTGTTTGAAAGGGAGTGCACATGTGTGGTGGTCAGTGCACCACGCCCTGATCCCAGAGATATTTTTAAATAAAACTCTTAAGCTGGACATGGTGGCTCCTATAATCCCAGGGATTGGGAAGCAGAAGCAAGAGGATAAGGAGTTCAAAGTCATCCCTAGCTATAGAGTTGGTTTGGAAAAATAATCTTGGGGTGCTAGAGAGATGCTTCAGCAGTTAAAACCAATTGCTGCTCTTCCAGAGGTTTAGTTCCCCATCACCCAAGAGGCCACTAATCTGTCTGTGATTCCAGTTCCAGGGGATCAAACACCCTCTCCATCCTCTAGGGGCACCATGTACACACAGCACACAGACATACATTCAGGCAAAATATTCACACACATGAAATAAAATTGAAAACAACAATCTGGGCTGAGACTCTGTCCCGAGGCTTCCCTATGTACCAGTGGTAACTCCTTGACTTACCAGCTCCCGGGAGGTCTTTGCTCTACCCCTTGTCAACCTCACCTCTGTGCTCACTGTGCTTGAACCACATTGGTCACATCACTGAGTGAGACAAATTTATTCCTCCAAAGCTTTTGGACTTGATGCTGCTGTCATCTGGAATATCTGCTGCAGTTCAGCGTATGGGTTCTCATCCAGACCTCAGCCGAGCGTCCCCTTGAGCAGGATTCCTTAACCTCTTCCCTCTCTAATCTATCAGCCCTTTCCTCCTCTCTCTGGCCCTCTAAATCATTGCCTTGTTTCTCTCCATGCTGATGGCCACTATCCGCTCTTTCCTTACAATTAGCTGTCCGCTACAGTAGAAAGGGAACTCCATGGGCACAGGTTGATTCTCACGTTCTCCTGTGGCTTTGGTTCCCAGTTCTGCCTCACACACAACAGTACTTCAGGGAATACACTAAATAATAAATGAAGTTCATCCAAGGGGCTGGACCCAGAAGATCTAGGTTCTAGCTCTTATTCTACCTCCCTATGATATTGGCAAGCCACTAGTCTCCAAGGGCCTCTGTTTGTCTGTTTGTAGAGGGAGCATAACAACACTGTTGTCACACAGGCGTGTGACAGTTGAATGATGCCATGCATGTTAAAGCCTGGTTTGGTGCTCAGCACATGGCACAATGGCCAACAAATGATGGTGCCTTTCCCTTCCTTCAGAGTCATTTTTCTCACATGGGGGAAGTAGCAGTGGCTGCACAGCAATGATTGTGTAGAAGCAAGATTAATTGACAAGTCTTTCCCTCTCTTTGCCCCTGTTCCTGCCCTGCCCTGGTCTACCGCTTTCTTCTTCTCTGGCTTAGCCACCATCACCTCCTTCAGGACATGCTCTTTGAGATCCTATCCTGGATTAGTGCTTGCTGTGGGCACCATGGGCCTTGCATGTTTTTGTTCAAATAAACAGGCATCACACTGTTACCATAGTTTCTTCATTGGCCTAGGGGATGATAGGTTGGTGAGCAGATAGATGGGTGGGTGGGTGAGCGGATAGGTGGATGAGTGGGTGAGCAGATAGATGGGTGGTTGGGTGAGCGGATAGATGGACGGGTGGGTGAGAGGACAGGTGGAAGGGTGGGTGAGCAGATAGATGGGTGGGTGGGTGAGCAGATAGATGGTGGATGAGAAGATAGGTGGGTGGGTGGGTGGGTGAATGGATAGATGGGTGGGTAGGTGGGTGAGCGGATAGATGGGTGGGTGGGTGAGTGGATAGATGGACAGGTGGGTGAGTGGATAGATGGGTGGGTGGGTGAGCGAATAGATGGGTGAGTGGGTGAGCAGATAGATGGGTGGGTGGGTGAGTGGATAGATGGGTGGGTGGGTGGGCAGATAGATGGGTGGGTGAATGGATGGATAAATGGGTGGATGGAAGGAAGAAGGGGTAAGGTAAGGAATCATGTAGTGAACACTTTGAATCTCAACTATCCAAAGTTGAGCAGCCCCACAGGACTCTCTAGAGACTAGCCTCAGCTGGTCCTGCCACTCCCCCACACTCTGGGGAACCCTGCCCCATAGTTCCCTTGACATGTAGTCAGAGATCCTCCAGCACTCCCAGTTCGTGGTCCCCAACCATTGGCTGCAGCCTTCATTGCCGGGACCCAGGCCACGAATGGGAGGCAGCCAGGTGCTGGAGCAGGTGATGCCAGCCTGAGCCCCAGGGTCAAGGTAAGAGATACACAACGCACTCTGGGTTAAACAGCTCTGTGAGACACCTCTGCAGGATTATGAAGATGAAGAGTCTGTCGCTGCTGCCTCTGCAGCTGCTGCTGCTGACCACCTGCATCTTGAGGGCTCAGGGGAAGCGCCGCCAAGTCTACTTCCGGGAGGAGTTCGAAGATGGGGGTAAGCGGTCCTGGACCAGAGCGACCCTGTTCCTTCTCACTCACCAGCTCCGGAGGAAGTCAGGCTAACTTACCCCTTGGGAAACCATTCAGAACTAGAAGAGCCGCCGTTCAAATCCAGTTCAGACCCTCCTGTGGCCCTGGGTCTGTGTTTGGATTCCTTCTCTAGTATAAGAGGCCAAAATATTCTGAGAGTTAAAGAAGGTAAGACGTGCAAGGTTCTGCACTTAGTAGGTGTGCTCAAAGCTGTTTCCCGGAAAACAGAAGCAAGAGAACCCAGAGTAAAAG